CATACACCCAACATGGGTCAACTATAAATATGAAATATATTATAGTAAAACGATTGTATATTACACGATTAAATGTGAAATGTGAAATAATTAAATCGTTTTATCGTAGTTTGGACCTTGTATATACTCAATATAAGACAATCATGAATAAGAATCAATGGTCAAAAAAAAATTCATTCAAGTACGAAATAAGTAATAAACTAATATCCGATAAATTCAGAAAAAAATATCAAAAACAACCGCAAATACATGAATACATCAATGATTTTACATTATAAATCAGAGTAAAGAATGCAACCTACCTACTTAAGTTCGTMAAAAATCAATTAAAATAAAACGATATTGCGTAATAAGTGCGTATCAAAATTATTATTATGACGCATGTATAACGATTTATTTACCATTGATTTCTGTCGTTTAGTAGAGCATTATATATTTTTTACACCTACTAAATTACTGCATAAAACGGCTTTAAGCCACCGGTAAAAAATGTAAACAAATAAATAACACGAGAAATTCTTAACGAGGTTGTCTTTTGCATAATGGCGTTTAAAATATGATGTGCCGGTGAAAAGGATTATTACACGCAAGTTTCATGCACGCATTTCGGTCACGGTGTGGTTTTTGTGTCATATAAGGGGGTACCCCGTGCCAAAATCCGGTGTACGAACCGTAATTATACAGTCGAGCAAGGGTTGAAGTGAATTTGAATTTTCATCACTTTRATATAATATAATATTTTAAGAATAACTTATGATTTCCACTAGAAGGTTTACCCGCTAAATYGGATCTATGCTAAAAACCTAACGATGATTTACCATGGTTCTAGAAAACTATGAGTTCGTGGCGCCGCTCATATTCCGATTAGACTAAAATATCTTATCATTTTCGCGTTATGTTTTTGGGTTATTATTACATTACTGTTCATAAATTATTTATCGTTTATATTAATAATATTAAATACCTATATACAAACATTATTAAAAATCTGTTTATTTTTTGTTCCTATAATTGGAGAATACTAGAAATGAACCAAACAATTTATAAACTTTGAATTCCAAACAASAATCTGTTAAATTATTCAGTTTCTTTATTTAATGCATTTGTTTATTTATTTCAAGTCCACGACCCAGATGTTTGAATAAGATTTTTAAGACGTTCATTATAATATATCCATTTTACATATATTATCATTTATCAGAATATCAATAAAAATATTACCATAAAATACATAGTCATGAACCCTATATATTATAATAAAAATCACTTGTCATCAATGATTTATCTTTTAAATATAATTTGAAACACCAAACAGTTTATTCTCTGATATTAAACGTAACTAAGAACAATGAGTTGTTATTAAAAAATAAACGACTATATTATAATGATCTGGTTTGGTATTTGGAAAATMTACTGTACAGTTAAAACTAATATTTTATCAATTATAGTTTTGTTTAGATGGCCGTGGTAATTTCGGTAGGTATAGTACAGATTTAGCCAAGTTCTTGAAAAATGTCTTGATRTCACCATATATAGCTTGAAGCATATTTTCAAAGAGTCAATATTTGATGAGCAATCAATGTTGGTTAAAATTATTTATTCATAACRCYCAGTAAACACCATTAAATAAAAAATGAAAAATACTTTTTTCAAACTTCACTTTTTGAATTTCTATTTTGAATCTGTCTTTCTGACAAAATTATGATTGTGGAAGAAAATTTAATTTTGACGTATAACACGTTATTCTTGCATGATGGTTATCGTGGCCTGTGAAATATTCACTTTTGAAGCATGGGACATTATCATAAGAATTTGAACCTTAATTTTTGTTTTTATTCCGATTTTTATTTCTCACTAATTGTGACGAGACTATTCTAAAGCATATGATTCCTAATGGTTTTTTTTTTCAATAAAAATAATGACGTTCAAAACAATTTTACTCCCAAAAGTTATTCAGATCTAAAATATTAACGAAAACGTTAAAAAAATATTGTTCTCTCCAAAGGGAGGGAGGAGGGGGGAATCGCACACGAGTATTATATGAGTCTCGATGAAGGGTGAAATTGATAATGAGTACAATTTATTTTGAAGTGTCCAACTCTAATGTAGTTAAATGGTTGTTTAAATTATACAATAGTTTGGTTTAAATTAATTTTATTCATAATGTATAGTTTAATAGGAAAAGTATTTGATTTTGATGTTGGTACCTAAAATATATTATGTAAAACGAAATGCGATGAGCTTTAATTAAAAAGTCTGAACTCTGTCTTCATTTCGTCGACACCCCCAATATAACATTAAGCGGGTTATTATATAATTTCAATTGGCCTAAGAGGTTTATTAATATCAACATAAAGATAGGTACATGCACAATTGGTATACTCTACATTTTTCATTTTGATATTCAATTTTGATTTATATTATATTGGTGCATATAAACATATTAATTATAGATACCACTCACAATTATATTTAGATATTTTACTTTGTCGACCGACTTTTCGTGATGTGAGCTATAAATATTAAATTTAGATCATACAAAATGATAATATTATTTAACATTATTAGAATTATAATTATAATTTTTTATCAACGACACAATAAAATTAAACGCSTATAGCATGTATATGATTTCAAAATAAAAATACAAATCATTAATTATTATCGCCTATATTTCTTCACATAAAAATCTATTAGTTTTTTTGATATTTTGAAGAACAAATATTAAAATATACAATATTTTCTAGGGGTAAATATTTTTTCATGTGATAAACAAAGCTTTTTATAAAATGTATTTTACTTGGAGTTGAAAATAATGATTTTTGCACGTATACTCACGTGGAGTATTGTGGATGTGTCGTGTTATAAATATATATATATATATTTTTTTTTTTACTTTTTAAAAACAGTAAGTTTCTATAATATGTGCGTTCGTGTGTTTCACAGGCGAGAGAAGAATCTTTGAAGAGGTACCCAGCGCAAAAACACCCTCGAGGGCTCATGACGACAACTTTGGGGTTGCATTTACCTTTGGATGCGGAGACCGTATTGAACGGGGCAGTGAGGGTCAGGTGTGTGGCTGTACTTTCACCTGTATTGTGGACTGGTGACAACGAGAAAGTGCTACCCAGACAAGATAAAAGAGAAGCACTCCTGCTCGGTAATAAATTGTCTACCCTTATTTATACATTGATATCGAATATGAAAAAAAAATACGTATACTAACAGTTGTTATTACATTTGAAAATCGGTTTGGAATAATTTTAAAGTGTCAAAATGACCTATTGCTGATATTGAAAAATGAGGTTTTTTTCTTGTACTTACTCTCACTGGATTACATTTTAGCTTCTACTTTAAARATATTCCTATACAGTAATGCTACATGGTCGTCAAAAACAAAAGACATGACTTCCACATTGAATAATTATTAACTATGTAAATTAATAAAKTTCTGTTTAAATTTACAAAATATCCAATACCACTTAAATGTCATAACATCTTACAAGTTATTTTTAACATCACTGTATACATTGTACATACTATATTATTATCTGACATTCAATATT